GGGGGGGGGGGGGGGGGGGGTTGCAGGTTCCAGTTCATTCCGCAGATGATATTTTTGAACAGCTTGTTTGGGTACCTCTCGGTCCTCATCATCATAAAGTGGTGCACTGGTTCTCAAGCAGATTTGTATCATGTTATGATATACATGTTCCTGAGCCCAACCGATGAGTTGGGAGAGAATCAGCTTTTCCCTCACCAGAAAACAGTTCAGGTAAAGGATCCCTGCCTTGGAATTAATGTTACAATCTAATAAGAAAAACAGGCCATACTTTTTGTTTCACTCATCATTCTTCTTTCCATTTTTTTTGCAGCTTGTGCTTCTCTTTCTGGCTCTAGTCTCTGTTCCATGTATGTTGTTTCCAAAGCCGTTCATCTTGAAGAAACAACACGAAGCTGTGAGATTCTCCTTTTCCCTTTATGTCAAGATCATATATAGTTATCCTTTATCTGGTCGTGCTAAATGGTTTTCCTTATCCAGAGGCATCAAGGTCAGTCCTACGCACCACTTGAGGAGACAGACGAGGGTCTTCATTCAGAGGCAAATGGAGGATCACATGGGCACGAGGAGTTTGAATTCAGCGAGATATTTGTGCATCAACTGATTCACACCATAGAGTTTGTGCTTGGAGCTGTTTCCAACACTGCTTCTTACCTTCGTCTATGGGCTCTCAGGTATCTATCTCAACATCTGAATAGTAGGAACCTCTGTATTACTCATGGCTTAATAATAATCATTCTTTTTTGTGTGTGTGTTTTCAGTCTTGCACACTCAGAGCTATCATCAGTCTTCTTTGAGAAGGTCCTCCTTCTCGCTTGGGGGTATGCGCATCCTCTCGTACTCTTTTAGTTTAATTAATAGTTAGCAAATCAAATAATCGATCTTTGTTTTGGCATTTAAAAAAAAACAGGTACAACAATGTGTTGATCCTGATCGTTGGGGGCATCGTGTTCGTATTCGCGACGGTGGGAGTGCTGCTGGTGATGGAGACACTGAGTGCGTTCCTTCACGCACTGCGTCTCCACTGGGTTGAATTTCAGAACAAATTCTACGAAGGAGATGGTTACAAGTTCGCTCCTTTCTCGTTCATTCTCACCGCAAGCGAAGACGAGTGATATTGATTGGATGCATGGAGGATGATGATGATTGTTTCATTCACTCTCATCCTCTGCAATTTGCATATACAAATAAAAAGGTACAAGACAGACCAAGTTTTATTTATTTTTTTCGAAGATATTTTTCCCCCTTCTCTATGTATTGATGGTGAAAGTAAACTTATTTATTTGCCTCTGCGGAGATAAATACTTTTTGAACTCAAAAACAAAAAAAACAAGGAGAGGGGATAATGGGATTTGTATTGAGGCAAAACTCATTTGTTGTTGTGTTTGTTTGAAATTTATGTAAGAACAGTAATGAGCTGTGGATACGAGAATAAAGTGAGGATTTGAACCTTTTTTAAGCATTACATTTTGTTTCACCATACTATAAAGTTCATCATCTACTGATATTGATTGTTTATAAAGAATTAAATACTCGCTTTTGGATGTCGGATGCATGGATTATGTTTATAAAGAATTAATATTTCTCGTCTGTATATGTTAAACTACCCCTTAAGGATGTCCTTACTTGCTTTTTTTTCTTTGTGCTTTACCTATAACCCATAGAAAGTGCCAATGAAAACAAACCAAAACTTTCATGACGATTCAAATTGTGCAGTCTGTCTACGTCGTATGGGCAAAAGGCACCATGTTCATGTATGCCATTTCTTATGATCTCTAAATGTCATTAATCTTAAGGCTTAATTATCAAATAGATTAATAGATAACAGCCCATAGGTACTGAAACTGATTACCAAGCCCATACAAGAATGCTGTGCGTTCACCAACTCAAATCAGCAGCAATGGTCAGTTTGGTCACTGTATTGGTTTTTTTTCATCGAGAAAATGCATTTTATTTACAATACAAACTTCATCTTCCATTTAAAAAAAGCAGAGAGAAATAGGGAGTCAAAGCAAAGAGTCCTCGCTCACACAAATCACCAGCATAAGTTAAATTTATTAAAACAAGAGCTGCCTTAACTAATGGACGCTGGGTGCAACAGTGGCTGTAACGGTGGAGACAAGACTGTCAACGCCACAAACGTTACGGCCTCTGCAGATTTTGTAATAACCATCCTCACCCCAAGTCTCACCCCACGAGTTCTTGATGATCCAGTAAGGCTTCTCCTTGAACCTAGCCGGAGCGTAACCAGCCGATCCATAACCCACCAATAACACACCGTGGTTGAGCCTCCTCATGCATACGTAAGGGCACGAGACTCCTCCAATGTAAGTCTGCATATATGCGGCGTTGATGGCTACAGCAAGAGGCCCGTTCTTGACAAGGTTTGCAGCAATCTGTTCTTCATCAATGGAGATGACACTGAAGTTGGAGACTGATGCAACGATCTTGGACTTGTCTAACTTGCAGGTAGGACCGTCCTTTCCTGTGTAAGGATAGTCTTCTTCTCTCATTAGCCCTCCGGTTTTCAGTGTGTATTCAAAAGCACTGTTCATGAGGCCTCCGTTGCAACCAGAGTCACATGAACCTGCCTCTTCTGGATCACACTGCATAAAGATAAATGTACACTTATCAGCAGAGTTTCACATATATATTATTAGTCATTTAATTTCAAGAATTACATGACCATATAATCATTGTGGATTTGTAAAGAGGACAAAATGATGCAATCTTGTATAAACAAGATCATTTGAATCAAACAACCTGAATTAAATATATGAGTTTTATCTTTCATAATCGTTTTTTTTTAATTATCAAGAGGTTCAAAGCCAGAAACTGTATAATCTCCAGGTCCAATATTATTTCGGACATAATAACCAGGATTCTTTCCATTAAACTAATGACGATTAATAACTTAATCATCTCAACAAGACTACAAACCATTTATAAGAAACAAAAGTCAAACCTCATGATCACAGTCAACGAGCTGTTGCTCACTAAGGCTAACAAGTTTGCCTGTCGCAAGATAGTTAGCACCTTCAAGAGCTCCCGTTGCACTAAAACTCCAACAAGAACCGCACGATCCCTAATTCACCACACATCAAAAGATTACTCAAACCAATCATAAAACACTCATCATTCCATGACAAAAAAAACCAATCTATTCATTACAATACCTGATTCTTGACGGGAGTAACAGCACCACGTTCTCTCCAATCAAACTCCTCAGGGAGATTCTCCGTAGGAAGAATCGGAGCCTTGTTAGCGTCCTTAGGAAGCTTGAACCCTCCTCTAACCCCAAGATGCTTCTTCTTGAACTCAGAACGAGTCAGATCCGAGAACTGTGTGACGCCGTGACGTGCAGAAGGGTCAAGCTTCTGGTGACGCCTCGCTCGTCTGAGATTGGCTTTGAAAACGGAGAATCTGTAGTCGTGCTCTTCGCTGGATGCGTAGACTTTGCCGAACTTTTTCTTGAAGAGAGAGAAGTGATGTTCAGAGGAGAGGATCTTGGAGGACTCGGAGGCTCCATCGACTACTTGGCGGATCATGAGATCATCGGCATCAGTTGAGGAAACGGAGAGGAAGAGGAAACAGAGAAGGAGGATGGAGAGAGAAAGGTTTAGATGGTTCATTTCTTTGGATTTGAGGATGAAGAGAGGAGAGAGGGGAAGGAGATGGTTTAATATAGAAGAAAAGAAACTGTCTCTTTACACAAGCAATGTATGTATGTATGTATGTATAGAATCTCATCTACATGTCTTTTTCTCTTTGGATATTTTATTTACCTTTCCGCTTCTTTATTTAAAAAAAAAGATATTTTATTAAGTAAAAGTCAGAACAATGCCGGTAGATATATTCGGGGTTTTAATTAGAGATTACTTATCTAGTGGGGAAAAGGGATTAAGCTAATGATGTACTAACACGTGTAATAATTTGACTTGGTAGAGGCGTGCCGTGTTGTAGAAAATTAATTCATTGTTTTTTTTTTATTAAAATCAAAATTAATTCATTTTTACGGAATCTTTTATTCGCTAATCTTCCACTTGCTCGCGACAAAGGTGGAAACGTTAGTTGCAAATATTTGTCTTCTGCTTCTCTGATATATTTTATTTAGTTTTTGTTCTTTCTTTTAAATACTGTACTACCAAATACTTTCATTTTCATGTGTATTGATTTTTAAGATATCCTCCCTGCAGATTATATGATGATGTTTGGGATTCAACTATTATACATTTACCCATGGTTCTTTCTTTGAATATGATTAGCTAGAGTTCACAATGAATCAAACAAACTCTGAAACAAGTCAACAACACCCTCTTTGCTTGCTGTTATAACTTATAAACATACCTTTCACTCAATTTTTCATATTGTCACAGCTAGAGGAGTTTTAAGTCATATACTATACATAAGATTGTGCAACAACAAGTCACCAATCAAAGCCACAAACGACCTAAACCCCTCATTCTTTAAAAGAAGAAGAACTAGGGTGGGAAAGGAAACAAACTCATTCATAAGTTATACACCATGATACACAACTCAGTCCAGTGTCCACATATAGCTTCTTTAAAGGTTTTTACGTTAACCTGATCGCTTTGTGTGTTTGTTCCTCGTCTTGCTTACCTCCAGGCTGCGCTTTCTATTCACCTGTTTGTAGAAAACATATACAAAAGAAAAACTTGTCTTTTAACCTTGGCAGGGATGGTTTTATATTAGACCTGATTAAATTATATCCCCAATTTAGTGTTAAGCCCAGCCAAGCTGTGGTACAGCACTGAGTTTCACCAGCCCCACAAAAGTAGAGATAGTTTCCGAACTGAGCTGATAGAGAGTTAGAGAAATATTTACCTTAGCATCCGTGTTTTTGGAAGTTGAAATAGAGTTGTCCAAACTCTGCTCTTCTGGGGAACACTCTTCACAGTAGAAGTGATCAAGCTTTTTAGCTGCCTCTATTGTTGTCCCTATACAAGAAGGATGAAACCTGAGCCAATGTTAGTTTTCCTGTAACATCCCAATGCAACAGACTAAAACAGACACAAACATTCTTAGGAGCAAAGTAGAAAAAATAAAAAGAGTGGACTTAACAGTTCCCAGTCAAGAGATCAAATAAACTGTTCAAGCTAACAAGAGTGAAAGAATACATACAATACACACCAAAACAAGACTCATCATCACTATCTTAAAATCAATATCTGGTAAGTTTACAAGGTAACATACAAACATTAAGATCCTCATCACAGAGCATTAAGACCACCATCGTATCAGCTTGTGAGAGTTTAAAGCAAGTAAAGTAAACACTTACCACTCAGAACAATCCTCGCATTGCACCATCAAATCATCAGGGTTGTACGGCATCTCACACTTACAGAATCTACAACCCACAATCAATCAAACATTCAGTCTTCTCTTTGCAAATAAAGTAACATAACAGACAGAGAGTGTGTCAGAGACAACGACATACACTGCGACTCTGTCGGGATTAAAACCCCCAGTTGCAGAATTATACTCAAAACGACAAAAGAAATCGTCGTTTCCCACAGAACTGAGTTTAGTATAGCTCCCAAAACTATGAACCTTACACTTCCCTTCAATCGTATCAGCGCTCTGCAAATCATAGTGATCCGATAAGAACACCTCTTTAGCTCCATGAAACTGCCTCCTCCCTCCCATAGACTCCTCGGGACGGTAATACCACCTCACACGAACCCTCGCGTTGGCTCCACGCGCCGCATCCGTCGTCTCAATCGCCTCCACGCGAGCCACGTACGACGGCTTCCCTGGCTCAGAAGATCGCATCAACACCGCATCTCCCTCTTCAAAATCGAAAAAAAAACATATCGAAACGATTCCGTTTTGAGTTGTATAATTATAGGAATTAAAAAAAATTAAAAAAAAGACAACAGGACAGGACCGTTACCTTGAATTGTTCTGTTGATGTGTTTGAGTTTATATGATTTGAGTTGTTTCTTTTGAGCTTTTTGCTTGGGCATCTGTGGAAGGAAGATCAAGTGTGTGCGAGAAAGAGTTTTCTCGAGAAAGTTAGTGGAAATTTTTCTGGAGAAAGTTACAATGGTGTTGCGATAATAATCAGGTGAGACGCGGTGCGGGAGAACAAGTCTTGTTCGACCATACGGTTTGGGAGAAGAATAATGGCAATATTGTGAATATGAGGAGAAGCAAGGGAGTGAAGGGGTAGAGAGAATGTGTCAGATTGTTAATTGACCACGTCAGCTTTTTTTTTTTTTTAATTGAAGCGCATGTTTTGTGCGCGCCTTTACCAACTAGTAACTACCAGTCTCGTGATTCATGTATAACGAGCCACGTAAGCAGTTACGATTATGACTTTATTTCTCATATATTATTAATACTTTTGACAAAAATTTATAGCAATGTTTTTTTTTTTTTTCATATAATTCTTCAACATTATTTAATTTTCTATATACATTTCGCTTTTTATTGACTAGTACATTTTCTATGCGAATATTTACATTTTTGTTTTTTACATTTAAAGAGTGACCAATACTCTGTCCTAAATAGACATGTACCAAATGGAACAAATCTACAATATGGTGCACCAAAACATTTAAAAGGAAAAAAAAAACTCAAAATTGGATGTGAATGGCATGTGTTTATTGATGAAGGTTACTTGTTTTATTTTTTAAAATCTATGCACTAACACAAGGTGAGGAACAATGGGTGCTACTAGAAACTCTACGACAAGGATAGTTTTGATAGTTAACATTGCTGTTCACAGCAGCAGAAAATGAGGATGAAGATGATTGCCTATTCTTCTTCTTCCTCTTCGTGTACGCATCATCATCATCATCAATATCAAGAAGTTGGGTTGGTTTCTTGAGATCTTCAAGGCATTTTACATCAAAGATACAAACAAATGATCTTGCTTTCCCTGAGTAGTACCTTGACAATCCTCTCCTGTTTTTCATACAGATCCAAAAATTAATCAATAATCCAGGAATCTATTAGTTTAAACAAGAACAGACAATCAATGAGGTAACTTTTCAGGTTTTACTTGTTGGGAAGGTTGTTTCTTAGCTCTCCCATGTCAAATGCCATCAACCCACTTATGGTTTCCATAGTTTTACAGATATAATAGAGAGAGATAACAGAAACAATATACAATAACAAAAGTTGAAGCTATTTATTTATATAGCTGAACCGAAGAGGAAAGAGAGAAAGATAAACACATTTGCTTAATTGAAGGACATGGTTTCTATTTCTGGATGCTTTTATGGTTCTCTAATTTTTTTTGCATAATCTGTGACTGACCCTAATCTTTTCTCACCTATACTTCCTCTCCTACAAACACATGTGAAGAGTTTAATATCCAAACATTTAACATTATCTATACAAAACGTTGCAGGGTTTCTAGAAATGAGTAGAGAGATAAATAGCACCAAAGTAGCCCTTCTAAAGAAAGAACCGTTTCATATGACATTATCTAATAGCGGTTGCTGATCAAACACTACTTCCATTGAATCAAAACAGAAGACTGAAAGTGGCAGCTTTAAGAAGAGATTGACGAAAAAAATAAGAGAATGGGTCACCAATCTATTTATATTGGAAATTTAGGAGGAGAAACACATTATATCTACCTCACTTTAAACATCATGTTAGAGGAGTTCATTGGCAAAACATCTAAACTGTACCCTAATCCTTAGTATAAGAAAGATGTACAGATCATAAAACACACAATAACCAAGAGAGCACAGTTTACTTTCTATGTGAACAATGGTCTAAATGTTAATAGAAAGGTTCATCATATTATACACTGAAGTTTCAATGTAAAGTTGTATTTGCAATCTAAGATTAATATCTACAATAAAGGAGGGATAAGTAGATAAATGCATCAGCGCATTTAGTAGTATACATATCCACCCACAAATTACAATTCATACAATATAGAAAAGAAGATAAATTTGACAACACACCAAAAATATAAATATCACACAAGTCTCCCGGACCACCACAAAAACATAAAACAAACAACCATATAGCCTTTGAAAGTCATTTTTTCTGGTCAATTACTGTGAATGCAAACAAATCCGTTTTGTGCATTCTTTTAGAATGAATTATTTGTCAGTTAGGTTTATCTTCCGTTAAGATTAGCAAACTGAGTAAACATAGCTGTTCCAGAGTGTTCGTCCACGGTCTGAGCCTCGCCTGCACCATCAGTTTCTTCCACTTTAGAAGCAACTGGAACAGAAACCTCCGCGTTGGTGGTCGCTGAGGGGGTGACTGGAGTTGGCAGAACAGGTGTCACTGGCTTATCGTTCTCAGTCTCTTCTGCTTTCCCCTGAGTGAATGCCTCTTGAAGCTGAAGAGCGTATTCCAAGTTCCACAGAACATCTCCCATCGTTGGTCTATCAACACCATAATCTTCCAAACACTTTTCTGCAGCTTCCGCGAACTTCTTCATCGATTCAGGGTTTATCGTTCCAGCCAAATGAGGATCAATGATCTTTTCGAGAAGTCCTTTACGTTTCCACTGCATTGCCCATTCAGCTAAGTTAACCTGTTCTCTTGGTAGCTGAGGATTGATGGCTGGTCTTGCGCATAGAGCTTCTAGAAGAACGACACCAAAGGAATAAACATCTGATTTATCAGTAAGTTGTTGTCTTCTAAAGTATTCAGGGTCTAGGTACCCGAAACTTCCTTTCACGGCCGTGCTGACATGGTTTTGTCCAAAGGCTACATCTTTAGAAAGACCAAAGTCAGCGACCTTGGCAACTAAAGCATCATCGAGAAGAATGTTGGTTGATTTGACGTCACGGTGGATGATCCCTTGTGCTGTTCCTGTGTGCAAATAGTGAAGCCCACGAGCAGAACCGATACAGATCTCAAGCCGCTGTTTCCATGTTAGTGGAGCAAGGTTCTTTCCGTACAAATGATCCCTGAAAGGACCATTGGACATGAACTCATAGACTAGGATCATTTCCGAGTTCTCATCACAGTAACCAATCAAGGAGACCAAGTGTCTGTGTCTGAGCTTAGAAAGCATCTGGATCTCTGTCTCAAACTCGGTGATTCCTTGTTCAGACTGTGGATTACCTCTCTTGACAGCAACCTTGGTTCCATCGTCGAGTGTTGCAATGTAGACATTACCAAATCCTCCAACACCGATGATCTGAGATGCTTCGAAGTTCTTTGTGGCTTCTTGAAGCTCTGAGAGAGAGAAGTTACGGCCAAGGCCCATGGTTGAGTTGTAGAAGTTGGATTTTTGGGAACCACCTTTGCTTGTCATGAAAGTACTGTCACCAGCGTGTATCGGTAGCAACCAAGAGGAGAAACTGTTTCTCTTCTGCCAATCTTGTGGCCTCTTCTTCCACCTGTAAACCATAGCTCCAAGGCCAATGAAAGCTCCAAACATCATCACAAACCCAGCCGTTGCAACCATACCATGTTTCCCCATGCCAGTGGTTCTACCATCAACTCCAAACTCTCCATCAAGGCTGTTCACAGAGTTGCTCATCTTCAAGACCTCGACTCCATTCAAGATAGCGTTTTGAGTACCTGTATCTTCTCCCATGGGACTAATCTGAACTTGGAGCTCAGGAGTCATAAGTGTTGCGTTCACAACAATGTCCTTGTAGTAAGGAGTTGCAAGATCGCCGGCGACAGTGGATAGATCCAAACCAGAAATGGCGGTTTTCCCGTTAATGTACACATTGAAGTAAAGATCATTGAGAGACTTGCTGACAATGTCACAGAAATGAAGCCGGATGAGGTAGTTAAACGAAGGGTTCGAGGGAAAGTTCCAGCTAACGTTGAAATTAGGAGCTATGGTGTGAGAATCAGCCATCTCCGCAGCTGTTGCGTAAACCGTCTGTGGAGCAATCAAAGGTGTGACTCCAGGAGGATACTTGATTGCTGAAGTGGTTGTCTTAACGTCCTTAGCCATGTTCGCTTCTTTCAAAAACTCCTTATCTGGTATCCAGGTTCTTCCTAACGTGTCATTCTGAGGAACAATCAAAGGACCACCAACATTGACTCTGTAAACAGACTGGTAAGCATAGTCAGAGAGACCGGAGAAACCGTTAACCGGGAAAAGGGCTGTGCCGGAATCAGAGATCAATTCATCTGGAGCTGAGACAACTTCCATAGCGTTGATGAACGCTGCAGAGCCTTTCATGGGTCTGAACCTGAGGGAGAACTGTGCATCCGTTATATTGACGAGATACTCCTTCTGGAGAACAGCTTGACTATCATTGTTGTTGTTACTAATCTTGAAGTTATGAAGCAACACGTATTTCTCTGTCATAACGGTAAAAGTTGCTTGTTGGAGATCAAACTTGTCATTAGGGAAGGCCAAGAAATGGAGGCGCACCCAATGCCAACCAGGTCGGGTCAAATGGAACTTGTAGGTAGCTTCCTCACGGAAGATCCTTGCAGTTAGGTAGATAGGAGAAGCGACCTTATCTGAAGGTGGGGCTGAGACTTGAATATCATCCTTGGCTTCAATGTATTGAACCGTCTCTTGGTCACTCTTAAAGACTCTTCCATCAGGGGTTTTGGATGACGATTTGCTTCCACAATCAATGAGAATATCATCTGCCGGTCTAAAACCGGTGGCAGGTCCCCCGGCGGCAGCTACGGTAGACACATCAAGGCCTGAGAGGAAGAGGAGAACAGCCAGGAGGAGAGGCATGGAAAGCTTTGGAGGAAAATCAAAGATGGGAATCGTGCATGTGTTTGGTTTCTTTCTTATCTTCATCCCTCCTGGGTGGGAAGGAGAGAGAGAAGAGAGAGGGATGAGGAAGAAGAAAGATGAGAAGGAATGAGGGAGTTCGTTGGATAGCTTGTGGTTGAAGAAAAGAGGGAGAAAAAGGTCATGAAAGAGAGAAAAGGTTAGTTGTTATATGTGTGGCCAGTTTTTAGAGTATGCCGTAATTTGATGGAGGATCAATGATATTCAGTGGTTTATTTTTAGCATATTGCTAATTCTGTTATCCAGACAACAATACCAAAAAATAAATTAATTTCTGGTTCCCTATTTCAAGAAGAAAAAAAAAACAAGAATTAAAACTCAAACCAGATTACATAACCTCACTATCAGTTTTTTTATCAAACAAGCAAATATGAACGAAGCAGTCCCCCTACTGATCATCCAGAAGCAAAGAAACATTAGGTAGAGTAAACAACGTACCAGTGAAAGCTTTTCACTGCCACTCAAGTAACTCCAATGCTTGCTGGTGAATGTCTGAATCTCCTGCTGCAACTACATTAAAGCCTATGACAAATGAAACAGTAGATGCATTCAGGGGCTGTTTCGATGAGTTGTGACTGAGAGAAAGAATGAGAGTTTTTGGGAGTATTGAACGTACTTGTAGCAACTGCATTTGATGAAGCTTCCCAAAGAGGTGGGTTACCGTTCCAGTCGGTTATGGTACCTCCAGCGCCTTCTATTACAGGCACCAGAGCTAGGAAATCATATGGCTGGTGAACGATAACACTGACTTCAATTAGTATGATATGAACGGACAGTAGCAATAAGGATTGGTACACGAGGCATTTAACTTTTGACAAGTCATTCTGAAGGAGAAAGTTTACCTTTAGACCGGATTCAATAACAAGATCGACAAATCCAGAAGCCAGGAGAGCATAAGCATAACAATCACAGCCGTATAATGGCATCTTTACCTGTTATAACAAAATTTGTCAAGCCAAAAGGGAAAGACATTCGCTTGTTAGCGACGTCAAATAAAGAACAGAAATTGACTCGGAACTCAGTTGAGATATTGATTACTGTAAGATGTGTTATTCTGCAGCATTTCAAATTCTCATAAGCCGGTTTTAAGTAGGTTTCAGTTTCCAAGACTATGCTAAACCATGAAAGAGAAATAGATAAGAACCTTGTCTCTAACTCGAGCAAATGCCTTTTCTGCCTCTTCACTGAAAAGATGTGGGCTAGTGGTGTATCTGGACAGTCAAAATATGAGAAGATACAAAGTCATGAGAATTCTAGTTGCCTTCTTGATACCACGAAGACAAAAGGGCATCACATATCTTATTAGGCTATTTCCTTGAAAAGCTGACTACAGAAGTAACACTAGTATGGCTCAAGGAACAGAAACTTACAAATATGCTTGTGACAATTTCGGGCATGATCGTGTTGAGATATCTTCCCCATTTAATTTAGTTCTTCTTCCACTCATTCCTATCCATCTCTCTTTCAGAATAGGCTGATCAATTAGACCTAGAATCTAAGAGAAAACAAGGGCAATTAGTAAGCTCAAATGCAATTGCTAAGAATCATAAAAGTTTTTAATAGCTGTCAGAATTTTAACATACTTAAAACTCGTCTACTAAACACAAAACAGATTATATCCTCGGTTTCCAAATCTGATCATTCGAATGTGCTTATAATGCATACCAAAAAACATGAGAAGCTTGCAAACAACAACAGAGAGTCTGGTGTCTTACCGGTTTGCCTTTGTAGAGCAGAGCTACCAACGTACCAAACACAGGCTTCCCTGAAAAGAAGCAATTGAGAGCACAATCAAATCCTCAAACTCTTAATAAGACCGTAAAAATTGACAAAATTGGAACAAGGAGTGGACCAGTAATAAAGCTCTTTGTTCCGTCGATTGGGTCCAAAACCCAAACATAGTCTGAAGATTCCTCTTTGCATCTCCAACCTTTCTCCTCACCATATCTACAATTTCATAATTTAAATGTGAATAACGATGCACATTCGTCCTATGCATTCATCTATCTAAGCTCAAGCAAAAAAGAGCAATCAAAATCTCTCTTTTTATCATGGAGGGAAAAAAAAAGTCACAAATACAATTCAACTGTGATCATCTAGTAGAGCATAGTTCCACCTCTTTATATCATACAAAACATGAATATAGTAAATTTATGAAGAAAAAAAAACCTATTAAAGGGAAACTCACATAGCATGAGAAGGGAAGTTTTGGAATATAATAGACACCATAGCCTCTTCAGCCATTTGATCAGCTATTGTAACAGGACCTACACATGTTCCAAATCAGTAAAAAAAGAAAGAAAAAAAAGTTGAAGTCCAGAAAGTAAAATGAGTAATAGAGGTTCAAAACACTAGTTATCCACTGTAAGGATTCACATAGGTTTTATCTACCAAATATATAATCCTAAATTCAGTTCGTTACAAAAGTCTATTAGGACTCAACAGGCTTTTAGCAAAGCTTCCAAGGAACTTAACTTACTCATGTCATCTTTTTCGACAATATCGAATTTCTTCCGGAAATACTTTCTGATGACCTCGCCGGAAGCGTCAGCCAGTGCATTTCCCACGGCGGCGAATCGATCCAGATCGGTGGCGCTGCTGAATTCAGAAGAAGATTCTTGCCGTTTCGAGTTCGAAGCCATTGTCAGGGAGACCTGGCGGCGGGAGACCGGAACAGAAGAGGACGATGGATAAGGTAAACGACCGCTAGAGAGATGGAGGGAGCGAGTCGCAGACCGCAGCACCGGAGACGGCGGCGGAATGAGACCGAAGGGCTTGCGGAAGAGTTGCGACTGATCTAACATTTGCAATGAGAAGGTAATGAGACGGAAGCAGCTTCTTGTCAACTAGTCAATGAACGACGAGTGGGGGAATAACAAACATTGATTCGTTTTGGTTTTGTTTCCAAAAAGAAAATCGTTTTGGTTCGGTTCCGACTAACCGAACCGTAATATTCATGGTTTCACCTAACTTTTCCACTTCGGTTGTGGAATAAAAATTCCCCAACTATAAAAAGATGCAACAAATGTTTGGTCACAACAAAACAAAGAGAACATATTATAAACCTAGCTTCAACGTAATAATTGGTGTGTGCTATTGTTGTATTCTTCTAACCTTTAACAATTCATGTTAAAGGTTATAAATGTTGTATAATATGTGTTAGTGGTGATACGAATCTATGTTTGTTTAATATTTTTACAAGAGAAATGACAAAGGTTGTTAATCTGTCCACATATTATAATAACAAGCAGCAAGAAACATCAAAAAAAAAAAGGGTGAATTGACTGAAAATATAAAAAAAATATAATAATTAAGAAAATATCTAAATATTGTGGGGAAATAGTGATGATGGAGGGAAAAAAATTGGAGGGAAATTAGGTGTGAAGTATAAATATGGTAAATGTTGTAGATATGGAAAAGAAACAAATCAATATTGACAGAAAGAAGTGTAATCGAGGTGAAGATTTAATACAAACCAGAACCACTCGCTTGCGTTTTCAGAGTCAAATTCTGATCTATGCACAACCATAATAATTTATCGGCTAACTATCCAATGTTTTTTTTTATCCCCAAATTTGTAACTTTTTACATGTATGACAATTTAGGAAACAATTAAAAAAAAAGCCAATGAGGAAAGTGTGTAACCAACAAATAGCCTGCCTTAACTCATTGGCACCGTGTCCCTGTGTGTCTAGTTCTATGCTTCCAACAGTAGAGAGCAACGCAGAATCTGAAACAACACAAACATGATCGGGCTCTTATTCACTGATTTGAGTCTTTCACCTATCTATAATCTATGTAAATAGAGGAAGTACGGAAGCAACTTACAAGTTCATATTTTGCTGGAGTTGGTCCAAAAGAAGCCTTTCTTTTTGACAGGAAGATTCTCTTTACTCGATTTACTGGACCCAAATGAAAAATGTCTAGCCAAGAAAGGCTTTGCGGAATAGCTCTTGACGCTTGAACTTGAGACCAGTTTAGGACTCCTCTCTGCTGCTGCCGCCATGTGGCTCTCATCAAACATTACAATATCATCGCAATCAAAACCGCTGTCCAAAACTCGGTTTCTGAGTCTTTTGTTGTGCCTAGCTTTCAAATCCATCTCCACTCTCAACGCTTTCTCTGACAGCTTCGCTGTTTTCTTCTCACCCAATGTACAGATAGGACATGAAGGGTCGAATTTATCGATTTCTAGAGTCATCTGCTCTAGACACTCGCCATGATAAACATGACCACAAGCTAGAATTGCAGACACAGAGAGCTCGTTGGTCATAAAGATATTTTGGCTACTCCACAAGGATTTCTCTGACAAGGGTCTGGAGCAGGCACCACAAGTTTTCTGCTGATGACTGGACATTCGGTTGCCGTGAGGGCCTGTCTTGTCCCGTTCAAGTCCAAAGCAGTCATTATTATCATAAGACAGAGGCTCGGTGCTGCGAGAAGATGACATCATCTCAGAAAAGGCTTGCAGTGACCAACCTTCAGATGGTCCACTCTGAGAAGAATCATATCTCAAAGGAGTTCCCTGCCTCTCTTCTTCAGTTATTGAGCTTCCACTTAGTGAGTTCATTCCAGAGATCTGACCATCTGAGACTTGCTTTGATAGACGAGGGCGCTGTGTCGGATTAAGTGTCGATGAACTTGCAGGGTGCAAGTAGATCTGGGATGGAAGTGGAGACGCTGGGAAAGAAGATGGCTGTGAAGCCAGTGATTGAGACAATTGTGGAGGAGATGGGTATGAAGGTGCTGCAAATTTTGTCGAATCATGTTCTTTCTGTGGAAGAGAGAGATATGCATCAACAAATGTATAATTTCAAAGACATGAGATAATTCAGTTACTGGTGAAAACAAGCTTTACCTGCTCGAAGACTGTATCGATGAAAGAACTTATTGGAAAAGATACATCTGCCAACATCATGTAAGATTATTATGATCAAGAGAGATGCATAGGCAAGCCAAGAAGCAAGCAGACAAGTCCTATCAATATAAAATAAGCCACGGCTTTCTTCTGCTCATCATGACTCAAGAGACGCATGATGTAACAAGTTTCAAGATAAAAAAAAAATACTAAACAAGCTGAACTGTTTTTTTTACCTGAGGCAGGAGATTTCTGCAAAGTATGTGTCCGAAAACTATCCAAAGGGGAGCCTTGAGATGATAAAAAATCAGATTTGATGTCAGACACATCGTTCCTACTAATCCCATCATGATCAGACAACCAGCAGAGAGAGGTATCTTCACCAGCTACACGTCCTCTATTATTATTATCCCAGCGGAAACTCCAAGTAGGAGAATGCCTCCTCTCAACAGCTGATGATGAGTTAGGCAGGATGACCATTTTGTCACGAGGAGCAACACAACACGCATTCCCCATATCAAAACTCACAACTATGCAATTACAGCGTCTTCTTCTACAACCTTAACCACAAAAATAAATAACAACAAATTTAATTTAAGAAAGAAAGTTTGAGGAAGACAAGCACAACCCCATATATATATATAGAAAAAGGAATCATATCTACTGCCTAAAGTTTCTAAATCACTGCCTGAACTGCCATGTCTACTATATTCAGAGAATCCGAGATAAATTTAGAAACCCATTGAGCTTATTAATTAAACTAATCATTAAACAGATTCGAGATTAAGACCGGAATTATCTGCAAGCCATGGTGAGATGACCCAAAACAGAAACCTAAACCCTAAAACATTTATTACCCGAAAAATATTATTCCCAAAGAAACAAAGGATAACGAAAACAACAATCAAACAGAAGCAATAAGAGTTGTTGAGTCATAAAATCGAACCAGAAGTCCTTAAACGTTGTCGGAGAAGACGAAGAGAGAGAGGGAGCGGTTGGTATGTTAAGAGTGATAAAGGAGGAAAGAGACACTGCGATGCGAGTGCTTTTGGCTTTGTTCTGTTTCCTTCGAGAGAGGGAAAGAGGAGACGAATTACAAGTCTTTTCTGACGGCTTATCACGCCGTGAGAATCCGGTTTTTTTGTATTCGTATATATTTTTCCAAAACCGTACGCATTATCGTTATTGCAGCCGGATAAATCGGTTCGGTTCGGTTCTCAAAGAAAAAGTAAAACAGGTTTGGTTGAATGTCTTTGTGGTAGAGCTGAGATTTTTATCCGGAGTCCGGATTCGATCCAAAATCCACTCCGAAAATTAGAATATATAGGGATGTTCGGATCCAAATTCGGATAATAAAATCTTGGATCTGTGTAAACCGAATCCGGATATCTTAATATTTTTGGTCCACATATTCGGATTCACATCCATATTTTAAAAAATATAGTAAAATTTTTATTTTATTATTAATTATATCGGATATATTAATATTTATGTATAAAATAATTTTAATAATAATTTACTTTTATATTAATAATATTATATGTCAGATATATATATATATATATATATATTTATAAATTATACTTAAATATTTAGTTTATATATTATTTTTAAATATTAATTATTTTTACGTATCCGAATATCTGCAGATATTACAATATCTAGATAGATATTTAGGATCCGGATAATAAAATCACGGATCCACGATTCTGTCCCACCCTACTTTGTAGTGTTGTGACGCCGTCAGTGTTTGGCGGAATTGAATTGACTTTCGTTAAGTAGTGCCACGTCACGTTAAAGGACAAACACAGGAGGGAGAACGAATAAGAGCACAT